ATGTGATTATGTGTTGTATTTTAAAACAGTTCATTTTCTTGGGCAAAATTCTACAGTTTTAATTGCTTCTGTTTAGAAAGTTCTTCCTGCTTGGCAATATAGGCTCGAAAATACGTTTTTAAAACATTGGTACAATTCATCTATTGGAAAATTAATATATTGCGTGTTTTTTGGTATTAATTCTGTGCAATAACTAACAGGGCACATCACTAGATATGGATGTTAAAGATGCATTCGTTAGGTGATTTTGATTTCTTCTGGTCTGTGCTGTGCACAGCCCACATGGCAATCCAGTTCTGTCACATCGGTTTCATGGCCTCATCTAAAACTCAGATGGCTAGATTAGCTAGGTTTTCAAATCACCAGGATATAAACAGTAAGCAGATTTCTGACACACAAGCTATGTTCGAGGAACTGCTTTTTTCAAGCAGGAGATATCTCATAGAGAGCTTTGAACTGCATTTATTTCTAAAGCAACCGAAATTCAGTGCTGCAAACAGGATTATAACTTCAGGAGAAGAATAAGCAGAAGAAGCAGATGAACTCTCAGGGCCGTAGTCTTCCTTTGATCTTGTAAAGCTCCTATTGACATCTGGAGTTCCCAGTCTGGTGAGAAAATAGACTATAAACCGAATGGAACAAAATACCAGTCCAATATTTTGGTGGAGACTTTAAAACCACACTGTACAGGGACTCTCCTGCCATGCAGAAAAACTGACATAAGGTACAGAATTATTCCTTATCAGATGTTTTTAGGCGGCTATTAGGAGTCTTTAAAAAATATCAATTGTTTGTATGGAAACATAACTAAATGTTATTTTCTTTATCTAAATTAAGAAATCTCTTGTTATTATGCTATTTATATATTTTTTCCGGTTCTTGTATCGTTAAAAATCTAATATTAATAGTATGAAAGTTTTCCTTTTCTTTTTACCCTAGGTTTTTTCTTAGCAACAGTGAATTCACATGGAGTAAATTGAAAAAGAGAAAGCCCAAATACAATTGGCTATTTAAAGCACATTATGATTGAAAGCTACTTTTAAAAACGAGAGAAGGAAAGTGGGATGGGATATGGGGTGGTTTGATTTTTAAAACATTATTATTATTGGTTACTGTTGACATACTTCCTCTGATTCTTAGGGGGTAAAAGTGTTGTTTTTAACCTGGCAAATGCACTCTTCAGAGATCCTTTTCCATCCCATCCACATGGAGAGGTTAAAGGTTCAATTTCATGGCCTCTATGCAGGCAGTGCTCTCTTTCACAGAAGGCAAGAGTATTACCTGAAGGATAGAATGCAGTTGGACAACAGACACATTCTTATTTCTCTTGTTTTGTCCTACTTTTAACGACCCTCATTAAATACTCGGCTGAAATATAAATTAAAAAAACACGTTGGAAAGGATGTACAACCGAAGGCTGTGTATGTATATACAGTATGTCAAAAAGCCTTTATTTTTATACTTTAAATGCTCTAAATTAATAAAGAGTAATAATTACTATGTTATCTTTCATTTTTTATTTTCAAAATGTTTTAGTGACACAGCTTCATGGTAGGAATATCTTGTAGTGGTTAAGAGCGGGTGCCATCTAGAACATGCAGATATTTTTGTTGACTCGAGCTACCAAAGCAGCATCGTTTCAGGATGCGTATATAAAATTAAGTTTGGTTATATCAATGCCAAGGAGATAATTTTTGGAGTGCATGTTAGTACAGGAATCTTTGGAAATGCTAAGAATGTACTTCTCCTTTGAAACATTTTCCCCTTCATAATACATATTCTAACACTGCAGTTAGTCGACTTCACACCTGAAACCGTCACTTAAAACTAATAATCTAGAAATTTAGTTTTATTCTCAACATCATTTTTAAGAATGGCATAGGTAAGAGTTCTGAACAAAGGTATTTGATGCAAATACAGATAGCACAAACGGGCCCAAGGAGTGGTTCGAATTTGTGATTTAGCATGAAAATATTTCAGCATTAAAACTTGTTTTCAAAGGGAAAGTAGTTTAATATAATTTCATGTTTTGTATTTGTCATAAAAGACTTCAAATATCATGATTTTAAAGTATTAACCAACAGTGAAAAATATAAAGTAGATTTAGGAAAATATAGCTGAGATGAGTATTATTACTAAAAGAAACAAACAAACTCACATTTTAAAATAAAATTTTAAAAGGTCATTTTGATACACTTTAGAAATATCTTCCTTGTATATCATTAAATACCACTTATGGAAGAATTTAATTCCTTATAAAAACTGTTTACATTTTGGCTTAATTTTTTTTCCCTTTTAAGCACTTCTTGACCTTTTGGGAGAAAATAATCATCAACACAATGAATTTTCCTTGTGAAGCCTTGTAAGAGGAACATAGGTCATAAAATTTATATTGCTTTTAGGAAGTATATCTGATTTCATGCTGTTTTTCTATATTCAGTTTATATACCTCATTGCTTCATAGTAGTAATTTTCTTCTCACAGTTTTATGGATTTGACCAAAACGACAGTTTCTAATTGTCTAGAGATAATTTTTGAAGTATCAAAATAGGTTTTGTTCTTGAACAAACTGTTTTGCCCTCTATAATTATGTATAGTTGTATAATTATAATTTATCATTGTATCAGCTCAGCTGATCGATATTCTCTTCTTCTCATGGTGCTGTATAATGAATATCCATTATCACAAGGGGGAAAAAATACTCTGTAGGCAATCACCAGTTCTCCTGAAGCCATGAATAGGTGTATTCATAAACCAGCAGCATCACTGCACCACCTAGAAAAGAAAAGAGCTGGTTTTTATCCCAAGTCCTGTGAAATCGTGCTGTCTTTCCCACTGGGTTTCTGAATCCCTGGAGTCCGATGCAGCCTATCAGGCAGAAGCCATTCAGAATCATCAGTTCTCAAGCTCCAACACACAGAAAACTACTGTGGAAAATTCTCAGAGCGAAATCAAGACCATCTTGAGTCTCTAACTACATTTTTTCCCCATGAGTTTCTGTAACTTTCATCATTTCTCATCAGATTCTTTTTCAGGCACTTTTAATTTTTAAAAGTAAGTAAATACAGACACATTTAGTCATGTAAGGGCATGTGGCTTTCCCGCAAACTGAAACCTTCAGATTTGTCATATGTAGGCAAAGGATTTATCTTTTTCAGTTTATAATTAGCATTGTTGTCGTTGCATTCAAGAAGGAAATCTCTAAGATGGTGCTGGATGGGTGAGCCTGGTTTTCTCTTACAGCTTTCAAACCGGATTACAATGTGAAAAATAGCTTCTGAGTACTTTGAAAATCTGTATTTCAAAACTTAGCTAGCTTTCAACCTCCTTTTGTTGCCTCAGATTTTTGTTGCCTTCATTCCTTTCATCTGCCTCAGATATATACGGATTGCACTTGAAAATTTGGTAGTCGGGGTTGAGTGTCATAAGACCATCATTTATCTTGGAAGAGAAGAGTTATATAACTGGCTGCAAAGGGGCTTGCTATGTAATATGTCAATAGGACTATGATACGGAAAACAAGCACTGAGGCTGCTGAATACTTAGACATCGGGAGAAGCATTTGCATGTGGATGATTCTGTGTTCTGTCTGATGCAGTAAATAGCACATATCCTGTGCCCTTTAAGATATTCTCTATCCTTTCATGTCTATGTGAACAATATTACAAAATCAAAGTGTGGACAAACGGCAGAAACTAACACAACATTGTAAAGCCCAATTTAAAAAAATGTGGACAGATATCCAGAGTACAACTTAGAGAAGACTTGGCTGCATGAACAGAAGACTGGCTTCTGACAGAAAGAAACAGAACTTGATTTTGATCTTATTTTGTACACACTACCATATATATATTTTTTTAATCTACAGGCCGCACATGTTTGTGTAACCTTATACCAAAGATAATTCTCTGCCTGTAATTTTCATTTTTAACCCCTGAAGATACTCTAATAGCCCCCTCTCAGCTGCTGTAGCCCTATTGGCTCTGGCAAACAAAAAGGGATGCACTACGGAGGGTTGTTAATATGTATGTAATTGCTCTGTTTACTCTTATTAACTGTTCACCATATAAGACAAGAACACGCAGAATCGGGTTAGTTTGCAGCCTAGTGATATTTGGAGTTTAAACCACAGACTTCAAGATTCTTCTTTCATGGGAGGTCCTGATCATTAGACACGTAGAGCTGCTAAGGCTGTTATAAAAATAAGATGGGGGCTTCCCTGGTGGAGCAGTGGTTGAGAGTCTGCCTGCCGATGCAGGGGACGCGGGTTCGTGCCCCGGTCCGGGAAGATCCCACATGCCGCGGAGCAGCTGGGCCCGTGAGCCATGGCCGCTGAGCCTGCGTGTCTGGAGCCTGTGCTCTGCAACGGGAGAGGCCACAGCGGTGAGAGGCCTGCGTACCGCAAAAAAAAAAAAAAAAAAGGGATGCTACTCTAGAACGAAGGATGAAAATGCCAGGTTCACCCTTCTTTTCTTTTTTACTGTCTCTCGCTGTTCCTCTTTCTCTCTCGAAAAAAAATCTTATCCTTAACTCACAAGTCCTACCTTTCTCTCTACACCTTTCTTTCCTTTGAGGTTGCTAGGACCTGTATGTTTGGGATGAGAGTGGAGGCCATGTCCTTGAATGAGATTTCCAGTTATTCACAATTTTGTTTCGCCTGGACAGTATGTTCACAAGAACACCTTTCATTGGATTTAACACCACAGCAACTCAGGACACCTCATGCAAAAAACACTTAAAAAGCCAACCAAACATTTGCAAGCCTCTAACAAAACCTGGGGTCAGATTATTTAAGAGTTTTGGATTAAGGTTCCAGTCAATTACCGTTTTAGCTAAACTCTCCCTGATCGCTCTCCCTTTTCAGGCCCATCCCGTCCTGAGAAAGCTGGATTAGGGCCAGTCCTATGATTTTCTCTAATACTAGGTCTACTAGCAGGTTTATACTGTGTGGTGAAGGAAAAACACCACATTCTTGAAGAGAGAGTGGCACAAAATCACCAATATTCTTTGTCATTGGGGTCGTGTTGACACACGGGCCAATAACAAATAGAAGGCAGGTCTGAATCTCAAATGTGAAGCAAAAATCCATGCTTAAATGCCTAAAAGGCTGGGACAGATGGACTGGGAACTGTGGAAGCGTTTTCAAAATATACAAAAGTATGAACTGTTCACGAGCTTCAATTTACAGACTGCTTTCTGTATCTCACGTTGGCAGAAATGCTCGTTCACTGGGCTGAGATTTAAAGGTAAATGTGCATGTGTGTGAGTGTGGCAGGGGAAGGGGACATCAGTGTTCAGAGGGAGGATTGGGAAAGGGAGAAAGGGGAGGAGTAGGGGCCAGTTCTGGGGAAGATTTCCAGGATGTCTAAGAAGGTGAGTGTAGCCTGGTAAAATAATACGTGTGGTCTAGTGCATACTTCTGTACTTATTCACAAGCTTGCTTATAATCCAAGACTATTTGCCCAGGTGGTTGAGTCTGCAGCAGTTGCTTTCTTATCTGTTTACACAGAGGCAGCTGACTCTCCCTGTGGGAATGACAGCCGGCTTTTTGTGGGCTGGCATCCTGAGGTAAGGCCCCGAGCCAGGAGCCTCCACCATCATGCTGACAGGAGCTAGGAAGGTGAGCGCCAGGCTGCAGCTTCTCCATTCTTGCTTCCCAGAGGCGACAGTGGGGAGAGTTGCACTGGCTGTTCATGGAGACTAGCTGTCCTCCTTTTCTCCTTCTGAAGCGAAGCTGAGGCAGGAGCAAGAATGAACTAGAAGCACAGGGAAAGTTTTATTGGGCTGGTCCCTCAGTCAGTAAAAAATCCTCCCTTTCAGCCAGAAGCGACTCAAACTCCGACTGGCTGTGCATCCTTTCCGATTGACTTAAGGTGGGCTTTGGCTTCTATTAGCCTCCAGTAAGGCCACAAATAGTACCTTATAAACAAAAGCAGAATGTTTCTAATGGACGCCTTTAGTGTCTTGAATACTCCCAGACAACTTTTTATCCTTAAGGTTTCCATGTTTCACAGTGTGACAAACTTTAGTTGTGTTACAGATAGACACAAATAAGATAAAAGGGATACTAGAGAAATAAGGAAGGAAGGATATAAGTAATGAAAACATTATTACCTGGTCCAAGCCTCATAATCTTGGGAAGCAGGCCTTTATACAAAGCTAAAATGCTAGAACCGGAAGGGAAAGAGCAACATTCTTATTCTGAAAACAAAATGCAGTTGTACCTCAGCTTTACTGAGATGCTGACCCAGCATTTACCCAGAAAAGTCATTTGAGAAAAATTTTCAAATCCCAAAACAGACAGTATCGGGCTAAGTATTCTCTGCAGCAAATTGGATGAGAGGAAAGAATTAATCCTTTAATACCCAAGCTATGCTGATCTTGTCCCATCGCAAATAGGACTTTCATCAGCGAGATGGTTTTTGTTATCCAGACAGGCCTTACTTTCAAGACAGCTGTGTATATGGACAAAATGACTCTTGGAATTGAGTTTAAAAGACCATAAATGCAGTCCTCACAGAAGGAAATACGATGCAGTTTAGATCAAAATAATAAAATACTACTTGCTTACTTGAGAATAAGACCTGCTGAGGAGGGATGAAGAGACGAAAGTAAGACTTAAAAAAAAAAAAAAAAGTAGAAAAAGGCACATACTTTAAATTCTTAAAAGAAAACTACCTTCACAGAATTCTGTTTAATTCTCTCAGGAGAATATAATTAGGTGACATTTTGATTAGATGTATAGTCAGAAGACAATTACTCTCCTGCCCACGTGGGAACAGGGCATATTATATGCAATAGCATACTGTGCAAACCGACAAGCAAGGAGTTCACCTTGGGGAAAAAAAAAAAAGTTCACCTTGGCATTCTAGGACAAACATACAGTATATTGAATGATCGTGGCTTATGTTTCTTGATGGCGTAAGAAGGTTTTGCCAACATCTCATTACTGTGTTATCTCGCAAAGTTTCTCATCTATTCCCTATAGCTTCTCAGACACACACCCAATTCAGGAGGGCTTAATGGCTCTCATCAAAATGGAAGTACAATATGGTTTTAGCAATGCTTCAGTCTTGCACATTTATTAAAATAAGAATGTGTTACCCTTCTTCCTGATAGACCGTGGCCATTGTTTTAAAACAGGTTCTGTACTTGATCTCTCCAGGAACTGGCTGAGGCCCTTGAATCCTACTTTTGGCAACATCAAAAGGGATGTTAATGACTGAGGCTATTGTGCCCGAGAGAAGACCAACCCCAAATTTTCTCAGAAACTCCAAGGTTGGATCCTAAAAGAAAAGAAGAATAAAATAACAGAAAGGGAAGCGTAAGCCCCTAAGTCGGTTAAACACTATAAAGCAATATGTATTTAAGCAGAGCGTTGCACTCCCCGGCACCCTCCTGTTATTCCAGCGGAACACATTAGGATTTCCTAGGCTGGAACTTGTTTTCTTGACAATCCCATTGGCTATGTTTTTACACATGGTCTAAATTGCTGAAGTACACATTTCCTCACACAGGATTTATAAACACAGTTCATAAAGAAAGACTGGTATGGCATATGGGGATGATTTGTATAATTGGGCTTCACAATGTACTTAGTATTACTGTATCAAAACAGGAGAAATCCAAGCACACTATTAGCTAATTGGCCAGAATATTTTACAAATGACAGCAACTTCCACCATGAAGCCTACTAAAATGCTCATTTGTGTGTGGACCCCCAAATGTTAAATTAAATCAAGGCTACTCTCGGTCTGCTGCTATTCCCCTCCAGGTTTTTTGCATTTATTTTCACGTGTAGCTGATCCACTGTACTGAGAAGTGCTAGCTTCCTGTTATTAACAAACCAACTTGGGAAGGCTGCAAAACAGCCTGTGACATTCTGTGCATTATAAACAGTAGTAAGTCACTGGACTATTGGCTGAAGAATTTTCAACCCATTGTTCCTGAATCTTATTCTTCCTTCAATGGCAAAGGAAGAAAAGGTGAGAGACAGAGACAGAAAAGAGACAGGGAGAGAGACATACACACACACAGAAAGGGAGGAAGAAAGAGAGAGAAAAATATTTCTTCTTTCCATTTGAATTTGGGTCCTTCACTTTGGTCTGATTTGATTTTCCACCCCTCCCTGCTCTGCTCCTGATATCAAAGTATTTAATTAGGTCTTATGTGGTAGTCACTTTCTTTTTGCCTATTTTTGTGCCTAGTGAGCTCACATTATGCTTTGTTACAATGAATTTGCTGGAAAGTTCTCATTTTGCTGTCAGCCTCAGTTCTTGCCCTGAAGAGAGGTCATCTCACAAACTGTAAGTTGCTGACGGAGACCTCCCCTATCCTTCCCCTGGCCTCTCTTTTGGTCAATACTTCGGAGGGAATCTTCACAGAGGAACAATACAGGGTAGTGCCATGATGCTATTTTTATCCAGCAGGAGAAGTAAACGTGGGAACCATTCTCTGCTTAATAAAAAAATAAAATCAGGTCTGAGCATTGCATGCTTATAGCTTTGATGGAAGAAGAAAAATTCTGGAAGCTCTGAAATTTTCAACTGAAATAAGAGCCAGATACCATCACAGAAACTCCTATGTGGTTAAATATAAAAAGTGAGGGGTTCGGTAATAATTCTTGGATCTGGGCCATACAGGTGTCGGGTAGGTTTAAAGGGATTTAAAAACCAACAGGGTCTTTCAACAGGAAAAACAATGCAGTGATTGCAGTATGAGTGAGGTGTGTTTAAATAATTTCCCCTCCCCCCATTCTTTTCCCTTTTACAAGGAGAGAAAAATGCCTTTATGTTACCCTTCTCCATTCTGGCACAGAAGCAGAACTGGAGCTCGGGAGGATGGCGGATTCAGGGCCAGCTCTGGTTGTCTGACCTTGCACGAGTCACTGAATCCCATGGAGCCCCGTGTGTAGAAGGGATGTTTTTAACACCCACCTTAACTTTGTACTGCATGGTTTTTCTGAGAAATAAAAACAATAATAGTAGTAAAAGTGCTATGAATATTGTACAAGCCTGGCAGAAAATGGATAGTATTTTTATGTAACCTGTTTTCTAAAGTCTCAAAACACCTATGATGAGACCCTCTCGTGGTGCTCCTGCGACACAGCCAAGGACAAGGGTGAAAGTGATGACTTGTATATGCACAGTGACCTTTTGGGAAGTTCAAGGGACCCTGTCAATCACACAGCGTCTCCCACCTCCTGATGTGTTCGCTGAGGATTGGAGTTGGGGAGGGAGGAGAGGCTAAGACACTCAATGAAGGTCATTATGTTTGAGATGCTGTTGGGGACCAAATCCTAAGGTCTTCAAGCCATCATAGTGTTCACTAGCACAAGCGTACATTGAACCCATGTTTTCTATTAATTTCCCAGCTCAACAGTAAGATCCCACAGTAGTTCCCAAATCCAGTTGTGCATCAGAGTTACCTGGGAGCTTTACAACATATGGATACCCAGACCCACCTCAGACCCACCTTAGGTTCCCAGAATCACCTGGGAAAGTACCTAGAAGTTGCTTTAAAATAAGCCCATGCACATATGGTCACCTTATCTTTGATAAAGGAGGCAAGAATATACAGTGGAGAAAAGACAGCTTCTTCAATAAGTGGTGCTGGGAAAACTGGACAGGTACATGTAAAAGTATGAAATTAGAACACTCTCTAACACCATACAAAAAAATAAACTCAAAATGGATTAAAGACCTAAATGTAAGGCCAGACACTATCAAACTCTTAGAGGAAAACATAGGCAGAACACTCTATGACATAAATCACAGCAAGATCCTTTTTGACCCACCTCCTAGAGAAATCGAAATGAAAACAAAAATGAACAAATGTGACCTAATGAAACTTACTTTTGCACAGCAAAGGAAACCATAAACAAGATGAAAACACAACCCTCAGAATGGGAGAAGATATTTGCAAATGAAGCAACTGACAAAGGATTAATCTCCAAAATTTACAAGCAGCTCATGCAGCTCAATATCAAAAAAACAAACAACCCAATCCAAAAATGGGCAGAAGACCTAAATAGACATTTCTCCAAAGAAGATATACAGATTGCCAACAAACACATGAAAGGATGCTCAACATCACTGGGAATGTAAATTGATACAGCCACTATGGAGAACAGTATGGAGTTTCCTTAAAAAACTAAAAATAGAACTACCATATGACCCAGCAATCCCACTACTGGGCATATACCCTGAGAAAACCATAATTCAAAAAGAGTCATGTACCAAAATGTTCATTGCAGCTCTATTTACAATAGCCCGGAGATGGAAGCAACGTTAGTGTCCATGAACAGATGAATGGATAAAGAAGATGTGGCACATATATACAATGGAATATTACTCAGCCATAAAAAGAAACGAAATGTTGTTATTTGTAGTGAGGTGGATGGACCTAGAGTCTGTCATACAGAGTGAAGTGAGTCAGAAGGAGAAAAACAAATACCGTATGCTAACACATATGTGTGGAATCTGAAAAAAAGAAAAAAAAAAGGTCATGAAGAAACTAGGGGCAAGATAGGAATAAAGACACAGACCTACTAGAGAATGGACTTGAGGACACAGGGAGGGGGAAGAGTAAGCTGTGACAAAGTGAGAGAGAGGCATGGACATATGTACACTATGAAACATAAAATAGATAGCTAGTGGGAAGCAGCCACATAGCACAGGGAGATCAGCTCGGTGCTTTGTGACCACCTAGAGGGGTGGGATAGGGAGGGTGGGGGGGAGGGAGACACAAGAGGGAAGAGATATGGGAACATATGTATATGTATAACTGATTCACTTTGTTATAAAGCAGAAACTGACGCACCATTGTAAAGCAATTATACTCCAATAAAGATGTTAAAAAAAAAAGAACTTCAGGACTTCTGACATTGCCAGGCTGAGGGCCCATGTCTGGGAATCACTGATTTTGATATTCCAGGCAGACAAAGCAGATGGTCAATTGCTACCCCTCTGGGCATTCTAGGGAGGAGAAAAGTCTTTTGGGGATGGCCAAGAGCTATCCCTCACCACCTGGCCTCTGGGCCCCTTTCCAGCCTCTTCCTCTGAGTCCATGGTCTGCTCTAGGCAGCAACCCAGACTGGGATCGGATGCGCCAAGGAGAGCCCTGCCAGCTCACCTCTGCTGCATGTCATCAACCATCCTCGGAAGAACACAGTCCCTCAAATGCCCCTCCCCTTCATCCCCCTCCGGCTGCTCTTGCTACTTCTTTGGCTTTAGCTCAGGTTCCCATTACTTTCACCAAGTCTTGCTTTCTTCTTGCTTCTATCATCTGTTCTTCACAGTGGCACCAGGGATTTTTTTTTTTTAATAAAAACGTATCTGCTTCTGGTGCCTCCCTACTCAAAGACCCTCAACCCTTCCCCACAGCACAGAGAGTAAAGCCAAAGCTCCTCATTGGCCTTTGGTTTGTTTCGCATGATATGCTTTCAACCTACCTTTCTAGCCTCAAATTCTACAACTCTACCCCCAAGCCAAACTACACTCATGCTGGTTAAATCATAATCATGCCCATTTCTACCAAACACTTTTCTAAGTCCATGTTTTTTTTCAAACAACTCCCACAACCTAGAATGTCATTCTCCATCATATTCACAGATAGCAGCCCCACTCTTTATGGTCCAGCTTAAATCCCACCTTGCCCAAGAGACTTCCGTGGATCCCCATCAAAATTGATTTCTCCCTCTTGGGCACTCCTGAAACACTGCCTGATCCTCGATCGTCTTTGCTCTGGCTCTCTTTGTGTCTGGTTTATTTTTGTGTGTATCGATCTTCCCTGCTGGAATGTGAGCTGGCACAGAACAGGAGCATGTGTTATTCCTCTTTGTGTCACCTACTACACAGTGTGCACAGTAAGTGCTAAATAAATGTCTGCGGATTAGCCTATCACTGTAGTTTATCTTTGTAGAAACAATGAGAATCAAGCTTTGACCTTAATCACTATTTCTCAAAACTCAGTATCTTCTACCCTGTAAATGAACCCCTATTAGAACTTTATGTTTCTGTCTTTCTGCCAGGAGGCGTTAACATGGGGACATGACAAGGCATAGGACATTTGCAAAGTGGAGTATTTCCAGGCAAATGAATTGAGACTCTCAGGTCATAGAGCCAGGCCTGGGCTTGCCAGACCCCATTACTCAGGGACTCACAGAAAAAAACATGATATGGCATCCTGTGACCAGATTTTAGCAAAAGAATGCAGTGGGCACAGAGTAAAGTCTTGAAATATTACTCTTTGGGCTGGCTCTTCTTTCTTACACTTCCTGATCTTT